CACTGCCTGGTGTTGAGAACCAGAAGAACAGAGCCATGGCCTCCTCAGGGAGCTCGGAGTGACAGCAAGGGAATGGTTGTGAGCCACATGCTTTTCCTGAGAGCTTCTGGAGCCAGAGGGAGAGGGCCCCAGGGGACAGAGAGGAGCACACTCGGGAGTAAGGAGGGATGGCATTGGGGCAGGGGGCAGGGGGCAAGGCCAGGCAGGCAGGGCCTGTACCTGATGAATGGGCCCCTGCCCCGACGGTGGATCAGGATGCAGCTATGTTGCAGGAGGGTCACCGAGACTTCCCAGAAGAGGCCACCCCCACCCTTCATGGGGGGATTCCACCGCTGGCGTCTTAGGAAAGCAACTCGGGGAAAATCCAAGGAGAACAGATCTAGGCCTGTCCCAACCTGGGCTGGGGCCACCAGGGCATGTGGCGGCGTGGAGATACGCTGGAACAGGGTGCAGAGGAGGACAGAGAGACGCGGTGGACGGGTTGCGGAGGCAGACAGAGCTTCACTTGCGCATCCGTGTCCTAGCTGGGCTGTCATAACATGGGCCACAGACCTCAGGCTAAGGGGCTTAATGACAGACATTTATTCTCCCCCAGTTCTGGAGGCCAGAAAGCTGAGATCAAGATGTGGACAGGGTGGTTTCTCTGGAGGCATCTTCGTGGTCTGCAAACGGTCCCCTCTCCCTGGGTCTTCACGTAGTCTTTCCTCTGTGGGCATCTCTGTACATATCTCCTCTTCATAGTAGATTAGGGTCTGCCCTGATGACCTAACATTAACTTATTACCTCTTTATTTTTTTTGAGTTGGAGTCTCACTCAGTCGCCCAGGCTGGAGTGCAGTGGCATGCTCATGGCTACCCCAGCATTGACATGCTAGGCTCTGGTGATCCTTCCACCTCAGCCTTCCAAGTAGCCGGAACTACAGGCATACACTACCATGCTCGGCTAATTTTTGATTTACTATAGAGTTGCTTGGACTGGTCTCGAACCTGCAGGCTCAGGCAATCCACTCGTCTCGGCCTCCCAAAGTGCTGGGATTACAGGCTGAGCCATCAAGTCCGGCCAACTTATTACCTCTTTAAAGACCCTCCTTCCAGCTGGACGCAGTGGCTCATGCTTGTAATCCCAGAATTTTGGGAGGCAGAGCCAAGAGGATTGTCTGAGCCCAGTGGTTCAAGACCAGCCTGGGCAATTTGGTGAGACCCTGTCTCTACAATAAATCAGAAAATTAGCTGGGTGTGGTGGCATACATCTGGGGTTCCAGCTACTTGGAAGGCTGAGGCAGAAGGATCATCTGAGTCCAGTAGGTCAAGGCTGCAGTGGCTGTGATTGTGCCACTGCACTCCAACCTGGGAAACAGGGTGAGACTCTGATTCAGAAAAAAAAAACAACAACAACCCTATTTCCAACTGGGTGGGCATGGTAGCTCATATCTATAATCCCAGCATTTTGTGAGACTGAGGTGGGAAGACTCTGAGTCCAGGAGTTCAAGATCAGCCTGGGCAAGTTGGTGAGACCTCATCTCGACAAAAAAATCAAAAAATTAGCTGGGCATGGTGGCACATGCCTGGAGTCCCAGCTACTCAGGAGGCTGAGGTGGAAGGATCACCTGAGCTCAGGAAGTTGAGGCTGTGGTGAGCTGTGATTGTACCACTGCACTCCAGCATGGGCAACAGAGTGAGAGCTCCAACTCAAAACAAAACAACCCCAAAACAAAAAAACCTACTTCCAAATAAGATCACATTCTGAGGTACTGGGGGGTTAGGACTTCAACATATGAATGGGGGAGCACAAAATTAAACCCATAGCAGATTAGAAGGTACCTGAGGGTCAGGCATGGTGGTTGACACCTGTAACACCAGCACTTCGGGAGGTGGAAGTGAAAGGATTGCCTGAGTCCAGGGGTTCGAGATCAGCCTGGGCAAGTTGACAAAACCTCATCTCTACAATAAATTAAAAAAATTAGCTGGGCATAGTGGTTCACACCTGGGTTTCCAGCTACTTGGAAGGCTGAGGTGGAAGGATGACCTGAGCCTAGTAGATCGAGGCTGCGGTGACCGTGAGCACACCACTGCCTTCCAGCCTAGGTGACACAGTGAGACTCCAACTCAAAAAAAAAAAGGTACCTGAGATACTGCAGCACCCCACTTTCATCTGCAGATGGGCCAAGATAAACTCAAAGATGCCAGTAACTCCTCCAGGAAGCCCTCCAGTTAGGCTCTTAAGTCATTAGCCCCCAAACCCTGGGTGTCCTGTGAGAAGGGGGTGAAAAGAGTCAAATTGAAGCCTGAGAGGTGCCCAGTCAGCCGGTAGGCCTTTCCTCTCAGCCCAGCCTGGCCTGCTGGCCCACCTCCCAACCTGGATGTCTTCAACAGGCAGGGATGACAAGTCAGAGGGGATAAGCACAACTCACAAGACAGAGCTGAGGCCCCAAGATGGCTGTCCAGGGCTCAGTGACCTGCTCAGAGCCACACAGCTGGCAAGAAAGGCCAGGACTGTGGCTCGGGTCTCTGGCTCTCAGGACTGGGTCTTCCCATGAGGCCAGAACTTATTGGACTGACTTCACCCCTAACTCCCAGTTCACAGGGCATGCCAGGGTTCTGTGTTTGAAAGCTGGGGGTGCCCGGAGCCTAGGTTTGCTCCTGGACTTCCCCCCAACTGCCATCTACAGCCCATGAGGTTGTGACGTTTCTTTTATTCCAGTTCCACGTTTCCTCTGAACCCTGTCTGTAAAATCCCTTTGGAAAAGTCCCAGCCTTGTCTCAGAGAAGCTTGGGGCCCAGAGCTGGTCTGGCTGGGGTCAGGAAAAGGCAGAGTGGGGGTGCAATTGAGAGGGAGATGCATAGCCAGGGATTCCAAGTAGACTGCAAGCTCAGCTCTCCATGACCCAGGGAGAGACACTTTCATCTCCGAGCCTCGGTTTACCCAGATTTTAAAAATGGAGTTATTGTTGGGATCAGATGGATTCACCTTGGCCGAGGACCTGGCTCCCAGGTATGGAAGGGCAGGGAGAAGGACTCTCCCCACCAGGGACTTGCCTGACCTCGGGGTTCTTGGGCGGCCAGGCTGTCACACCCAGAATGTAGATGTCAGAGGTGGCCATTTCCACATACACCGCTGCTGGGTCCAGGCTGAAGGGCAGCGTGAGAACACGAGGCCTGGGTTCCCTGCTCTGCCCCCAACCTGCTGTGGCAAGCCCTACTGCGTGCTGCAACCTCTCCGAGGCGAATATTGCACAGCTGGGGGGGTCCACCTCGGAGGCGCCGGGCGCTGATGCCCGTTCTTTCCCCAGTATCCCCGACCGATACCAGGGCAAGTCTCATCACGATCCCCAGAGGCGTTTCCGCAGGTTGCCGGGGCGGGGCTGTGGGTGGGCGTGGCTCCTCTGGCCCCGCCCCCTGTCGTCACTAGCCGCGCCCACTGAGACTCGGTCGGGGGTAAAGGGGCGGATCCCGCGGCTGGGCGGACGGGGCGGGGGGCGGAGATGCCCTGCCCCTTCCACACTGAGCCACCTCCCGCGGTGGGCCCCCGACTCCAGCTCGTGGGACCTCCAGTGTGGGTCACCTCCACGCTGTTATATGGTGCGCTCCGGATCCCGCCCGAGCTCAGCTACTCATCAGCCATGGGACCTCCAGGCAGGTCGTGTTGAAATGGGTACAATAATCCCCACCTCAGAGGGATTATTAAGTCTCAGTCAATGGTCCCCTCGACCACCCACCTCCCGGCTCTCTGGACTGCTCCCTCACCTCACATTCCACGTGTCGGCAACGATTCCTGTGGTGTCCGCCCCACTCCGATCCCCACACCCCCATCCTGCTCAAGCCACCCTGTCCCTGGCTCCAAGACCAGAAGGACTTTGAAGGGCCGCCCAACCGTTGTCCTAAGCTGTAAATCGGGAGCTGGGGGAGCACGGGGGACATCTTGGGCCCATGCACCTGGCCTAGAGTCCACAGGTTTAAAATTCAAGCAGGCTGCCAGGTGGACTTCCACACCTCTCCTCCCACCTCTCTGGCACTTGGGGGGTTGGGCTATTTTTAGAAGGAAGTTGGACTGGAGAAAGTACCTTATTCATCCTGAAGGTTAGCAAAGCATCCAGGAAAGAACAGAGGCACCAGTGTCTCCCGGCTTCCTCCAGCTCACCAGGCCCCTGGCCTGCCCGCCTAGGTCTGTGAACTTTGTTGAGCTAACATTTATGGAGTGTTTTCTTGAACCTGGCTCAGGCTCACCAAGGGCAGCGGCCAGGCTGGGAGGGGCTAAATATTTGGGGGAGAGGGCCCTAAACCACTGTCAGGTTTTTGCCCACCTCTACCCGCCGTGCCAGCCCCAGCCAGGCAGTGGGCTCTCTTTGTGCAGCAGGATAGAGCCAAGAGTCAATGTTGATGGACCTTGTGGAGGGTAGGACCCTCATGTGGGGCAGGAAGAGGGGCCTGCTCACCCAAATTCACTTGTGGTTTCTGTGGCCAGCTTGGTGGTTTCCCAGCCTCAGGGATGGCTCCATAGCCCCAACCAAGGCCAGCCTTGGGCATCTCACTTTGCGCCTTGGTTTCCTCTCTATAAAACGAGATTTTGCAAGGATTTGGGATTTAGCGAGATCCAACCTGGAATAGGGCACCCCACCTGAGGTACCATCCCTGTGCCCGACTGCACTGGGGTGGGGGGTGGGAAGTAACGGGGCCCTCAGGCTTCAGCCCCAAGGAGGCCGAAGGGGAGATGGGAGGCCATCTGGAGGAGGCCGGTCCTGCCTTGGGCAGCCTTGGCTGAGGCTGAGCCAAGAGAGGGTCCCTGGGCAGAGGCACCAGCAACAGCTATTGGACAGTCCCATCTCTGAAGACCTCGGGGCATCTCAGCCCTGCCCAGCCCACCTCTCCCCACCTTCACCCCCAGTGATCACCCACTTGGCACTCTGGACTGGTCAGGCTGGACTCTGAGCTGAGGCCTTGCCCAGGAGGCCACCTGCAGAACCAAAATTGTTTCCAGCCCCTTGAGACCCCACCACGTGTGCCTACTGGTCACCAGGAAGTACCTTTATTTCTGCTTCAAACCATGTAACAAGGGGGCTATAATTCAGACCTGGGCCATGAACAGGGAAGGGCAGGACTGTGGGCCTGACCAGACCCCGGGAGACAGGAAGTGGCTGTTCAGCTCTGCCCGCAGGGTGTCCCACCAGGCCTGGCCCTGTCTGTTCATCAGCCCGGCTACCTGGAGTTTTAAGGCCCTCTCAGCAGCTGGAGAGCAGAGACTGGCCCCATCTTTGTCCTATCACTGGGCCGGGTGTACCTTGTCCTCGGAGCCAGCACACTTGCCGCCAGCATCGTCCACAGCCTTCCCTGATGCTCCCGGTAGACTTGGGGAGGGGGCTGCAGAAACATAAGGCCTCTGTGTCGGTGGGGGGCTGCAGCCGGGGTGGATCCCAGGGGCCTGCAGTGAGCCTAGGCTGGGGTGGTCAAGACTTCCTCATGGTCAGGTGCTAGGCCAAGGAGGGGGGTTGGAGCTGGGGTTGGAGCTGGGCTCTGGGAGCAGGAGCGCCCCCACATACATCAGAGTAAAGGGGGTGGCACAGTGAAAGGGGTCCAGGCAGACCCAGGGGCCTCCCTAGAGCCCATGTCCCAATGGGTACCCAAGGGACGGTCCCTGATGTTATCCTGGGTCCTGGACAGGAACTAACAAGAGACTGAGGGTGCTTTGGGCAGAGGTGGGGGCTGGGCCTAGGCAGACTCCTTTTAGGCTCATGCTGTAGCAGGCTCACTGACCAGTTGGGCAGCTACCCCAGGCAGAGCTGAGGTTTGGGGAACGGGAGAGACAGACAGGGTGCTAAGTGACTCCAGCTGTGGCTGAATTCACTTCCTCCCCAGGGGACAGATCTCCAGGGGTGTCCAGAAGACAAAACCTCCCAGGACACAGCTCATGCTCCCTCTCCAGCTCCCAGTGGCTCTCAGAGCCTTCACAGAGGCTGCCATTGCTCTCAGCCTGCTGTCTCTCCTGTGCCTCAGGCCTGGCCTCAGCTGACCCCTCTCTTGCTCACATGGTCCTCCTCCTGGAGGACCTTTAAACAGGTATCTTCAGCCTTTATTTTCTTTTATTTTTTGAGTCAGAGTCTCACTGTCTTCCAGGCTGGAGTGCAGTGGCACACTCATGGCCACCACAGCCTCGACCTGCTGGGTTCAGATGATCCTTCCACCTCAGCCTTCCAAGAAGCTGGAACTACAGACTTGTGCCACCATGCCCAGCTAACTTTTTGATTTATTGTACAGACAAGTTGCCCAGGATGGTCTCGAACCCATGGGATCAGGCAATTCTCTTACCTCTGTCTCCCAAAGTGCTGGAATTACAGGCATGAGCCACCATGCCCAGCTACTTCCAGCCTTTATTTTTATTTTTTTATTTTTTGAGTTGGAGTCTCACTCTGTCACCCAGGCTAGAGTGCAGTGGCACACTACTGGCCACCGCAGTCTCAACCTGCTTGGCTCCAGAGATCCTTCCGCCTCAGCCTTCCAAGTAGCTGGAACTATAGGCGTGCGCTACCATGCCCAGCTAATTTTTGATTTATTGTAGAGACCAGGTCTCGTCAAGTTGCCTGAGTGGGTCTCAAACGGCGGGCTTAGGCAATTCATTCACCTTGGCCTCCCAAAGTGCTGGGATGACAGACTGAGCCATGGAGCCCAGCCATACCTTCAGCCTTTAAACAGGCACCTGCAACTGGGACGGGAATCTGCCACCAGGCCAGCCCAACCCTGTCAAGTGCATCTGCACCCTCACCCCTTCCAGCCCGAGTGGACAAGGCACATCTGTTCCAAAGGTGCTGGATAAATGAGGAGGCCTGGCTGGTGAGGGGTGGGAACATGTGGTCACTCATTCAACAAGTGTTTACAGAGAGGTAACAGACAGAGGATCCAAGGGCAGACAGTTGGGCGGGCATGAGCAGGCTGGAGGGGACAAGGCCCTGCTTGCAGGAGTGACAGAAGGAGGCCTACTTCTGACCCAGCCAGTGGCCACCCCCTCCTCCCTCACTCACCAGCAGCAGCCTGGCTCTGGGATCCCTCTGGGGGCCAGCACAGCTCTCCACTTTCCACGGCACCTGCCTCACTGGACTCCACCACGATGGAGGGCAGCCGCTGGCCCAGCCGAGGGCCCTTCCCCCAGGTGCCCGCCGCAGCCTTCAGGGAGGGTGGGCAGGAATCAGGGTGATGCCAGGCCAGGGGCTCCCACTTCCCTCCAACTCCTGTCCTGCACCTTGCCCCACTCGAAGGGTCAGGGACCCTCCCGCCCAGTCCTCAGAGCAGGGGTGAGCTCATGTGTGTTTGCACATCCCCGAGAGGTGTCCCAGCCCCTCCCCTCCCCCACCACAGTGAGGTGGGACACTCAACCCCTGGGTTCACAGCTCTCCAGGGGGCATCCCACGACCCACCTGGGTTCAGCCCCCAAGAGCCCATTTCACAGACTGAGTCTGAGGCTGGAGAGGCCAAGGTCACCAGGTGTGAGCCCAGGGCTTCTGCACACACCTAGCAGCTTTCTGAAGATGGAGTCCTGTGCAACCCCTTCCTGGGGTCTTTCCTGCTGGGCCCTTGGCCTCCTCCGGGCTCAGAGGAGCTGGCAAGAAGTTGCCATGGCAACCCTAGGATGCTGGGCTTGCTCTCGACTCATTGTTCAGTGCCATAGGCGCGTGCGGGGGCTGCCTCCCAGCCCTCCCGATGCCCTTGGCATCTCTGCCTCCCATTCATGCCTTCCAGGTCACAGTGCTACGTGCATGTCCCTCAGTACCCGTGGCCCTGGCCTACGTGCCTGTCCCCATGCCTTTGCTGGGGCAGACTCCCCTTCCTGGGGCTCCCTGCCTCCCATCCCTCTCACCTAGAGGGGCAGCTGCTGGTGTTTATCCACCTTCCCTTAGGGGCACATGGACCCAAGCACAGGCAGGCACATAGGTGGGACTTGGCAGAACGTCCCCAAGACCCTCACGGCAGAAGCCCATGGACAGTTTGTTTTGGGGCTTGTTCCCGGGCTCCCACCCAGGCTCTTTCAACCAAGTACCACAGGGGATGGGTGTCACTGGACTGGGATATCTGTGGAATTAAGGAGCAGATGAGCCTCAGAGGACAGCAGAGCAGGGACCCAGCCCTGCCCCAAAGGCTGGACCCTCCTGGGTGCCCCCCTTGTGCTGACATTGCCAGGTCAGGGGCTCCTTCCCCAGTCTGGAATCCCCCCACGTGACACTCTCCTTCCTGCCCTCAAGGTGTGCTGCTCAGCCCCGAGTGCACCCCTTGGAGCTTGGAGCTCCGAGGTCTGGTGGTCCTTTTTCTGCCCACCCTGCCAGGGAGGCTGTGTCTACAACCCCAGACTCCAGACCGGCCTCTGTGTGACTCTGGACTGATCACCTCTCTCTGGCCCCACTGTTCCTGACGAGAAGAATGGCCTGACCACAGTATTCAGAATATTAAGACTGCAACCCCTGTGTAGGAGCTTTTTAGTTTCATCGACAGCTCTCCACACTCTCCTTCCACCCTGCCCCAGAAGGCTGGAGGTGGGGGCAGGGCAGCAAAGGGCAAAGTGTGTTTTGGGGAACAACCCCTGGGTTCCCAGTCAGGAAGGAATGCTGAGTGAGCCAAGGCAGCTTGTCTTCTAGTGCATGATCCACTACACATTTATAAAAGAGCGACCCAGATGGGTCAACTGAGGCTGGCAGTGAAGCAAGGTATGTCCCAAGTCATGGGCCGGGGTTTGAGGCTGGCTCCCTCCTGTCCCTCCAGGACCCCTACCACATACCTTCCCTGCAAGGCCTCCGGCCCCCTTCTCAGGGCCCAGCTCTGACGTGGCGGGCTGGGGGGTGCTCATGTTGCCACCACTGCTGAGCTGCAGGAGGACAGGGAGAAGAGATGAGGTGTCCACTGCAGGTCAATGCTAGATCCCACCCTCCTCCAGAACCTTCAGTCCACCCCACCCAGGCCCATTACCCACAGCTCCAACCAGACCTCTACCATGGCTGCTCCCTGCCCAAGCCCGCCATCAGAAAGGGCACTGGACATTTGCCACACAATGTGTCCATGGCTGTAGGGGGCAGGAGAGGGAGAGGTTGACTCAGCCTTGTGACCCAGGAAGGCTTCCTGGAAGAAGGTGAGCTGATCTGAAAGCATGAGGGGTGAGCAGGAGGCAGCCAGGCTAGTTGGGAGGACAGAAGCATGTTCTGAGACAGGAAATTGTGTGAGAAGGACACAGAGTGTCCAAGGGACCCCAGTGGGTTTCTGAAACAAGAGACTGAGAGTAGCAGGGACTGAGTTAGGGTAGGGCCCACGCCAAGGTGCCAGTTGCTCCCTGAGTACACACACCCACACACCCAGAGCCAGGCCCTGGCACCCACAGTCAGGGAAACTGACATCCTGCCCACACTTGGCCACACCCACTCTGGTGGGGACCAGGGACAAGGGATCCCAGAGCTAGTACAGCAAGGATTCTGGGAAGAGGGTCCCCACCAGGAACCACCCACACTGGCCTCAGACTCTCCACTTGCACTTGGGCTAGGTGGGCTCTTGGGGCCATGCCCAGGCCAGAGGCAGAAATGGGGCGGGGTCTGGCAGGCAGGGACCTAACTGCAGGCTGGAAGGTAGCAGGGGGCCACAGACAGGGGAGGGATGCTGGGAGGGGAAGGGGCAGAGGGAGTGCAGTGACCAGCCAGATGGGATGGCTGTGATGCCCACTGAGGTGTGGAGGGTGGTCCCTGCCCGCCAGCAAGTAGGGAGGCCTGCTATTCTGGAAAATGAGCTTTCTTTCAACCCACCATCTGGCTCAGGTCAGCTTGGGTCCCACTAAGGCCTCGGGAAGGCTGGGAGAGGCATGTGCTGCCCAGACCTGGGGGCAGTGGGCAGCTGAGCCACACTCTCCTGGGCTCCACCCAATGCTGTGACCCACCCTCTACTCTTGGGTCTGTCCCTCCATCGAACCCTTCCACGGACCCCCTCCCAGGACCCCAAAACCCAGACTAGAGCCCAGGGCAGCCAGGACAGAGGTCCAACAGCAGAGAAGGAAGCAGAGGGAGAGGTATGAAAATCACTAGCCACAGAGACAAGGCAAAGAGGCGACAGAGCTGGAGACAGAGGAAAAAGAGAGACCGAGAGAAGACAGATCAGACCAGAGGTGAGAGCACGCAGAGACGGGAAGGGTGAAGGAGACGTGACAGACCTGTCACTTGGAGTCACCGGGGCGTCAGAACCAAGTGTCCAAGGACTACCTCCCCGCGGCCTCACGCCAGGGTCCGGTGCCAGCCGGGGCCCCGCACATCGAGGCTCCACCACCACACTCCGTGGCTCCCGGGCGTGCGGGCCAGGGACGCGGGCGCAGCCCCGGCACGCTGTGCCCCCAGCAGGCGCCTACCGCCCCAGGCTGACCACGGAACCTTCCCGGGAAGCTCCGACTCCAAGGTCCCCAAGCACCCCTCCTCCTCCTCTCCCACCCTCCCCACCCG